GCTGCAATCGGCCAGGAGGTTCGAAAATTCAACACACGCCGCCTTATTGTTTAAATAACAATCGCTCATTCCTCGATGCAAAATAAATGCACCGTAACTGGTACTTAGTAGCAGCATCCAAACACCCGATCAATTTTTATGAGACTTTTCTCTACATTTTCGAAGAATGAAGTCGTTAATTACACCCAATCGTACACATTTTTTTCAACTTACCGAAGAAAATAAAATTCAAAGTAATTTCTCTGTTAATTTTTAATACACTTATGAAAAAGAATGCGCATTGAAGCAAGTAATAAGGAAACAATAAACGAAGTAATTATGCCCGGAGATTATTATCTAAATAATTGTAAGAATTCAATCGCCGGCTTTTAGTAACTAATAGTTGTCACTTTATGACTTCATTTTATAAACTCTTGGAAGTTTTAAAACACTTTATTAGCAAAAGATAGCCAGTAGTAAAATGGTTTTTAGTGCTCGAGAGCATGTACTGTTTTGGCACCTTAACGTGTACTAGACACACGTAAAAGGTGTTACAATTGTACACTTTCCCCATTACCTATGTGGCTCAGAATCTCGTAAAATCCCGAATGGTATTAAACGATAACCGTTAACGATCTTGTGAGGCCCGTAAATCCAGCACGTGTTTCCGCATTAGTTTATATAACAAATGATGTCGCAGCGTCAGCAAGTCAGCTGAGCGAAATGATTAAATCGAGCGACGGGAGTTTTCATGTCCGGCATGAAAACGAGTCTCTAAGTTTTCATAAAAATGAGAGAATTGAAACTGGAATCATTGAACATTAATTTAAATATTCCGCAAAAGGTAATTTATAGCGCAAAGAGGATTTTCAAGACCGAATGCCTTTAGAGCAAAAAACTCGACATTAATGACGGCGCTCTAAAGATAACAATGGTCTTGAAAAATGATCGGCTTATCATCTTTCGACCTCGACGACTCGCCTTTATGACGGAAAAAAATTATGAGTTCTCTTGGGGGATCTTGATAACCAAAGAAGTAATTTAAGTCAGCAGCTCTTCGTTTTGGCTTTATTAAAAGAGAAGAAAAAAAAAACAGGGAGATTCAACCTTGACTTAATTTTCTAATGCTTTGTAAAATCACGGTAAAGGTAAAAGATATTGGCAACGAATAAGAGTAAATGATGTGTGTACTCGAGAGTCTCGTGTACCGTAAACAAAAGGAAGAAAATTATTGTTTTGGGCATCGGATTAAATGGAGGATAATACTCGTTCGTGCCATGATGACTTGACGCACGTTGGGACGGATAAGAAGGTTGATAACACCCTCAAGGTGCATTGGTGTTCTCGTTGCAGGAGAAGGTGAAGATATAAATGTCAGTTTTTAAGAGTATGGTAGTATACATCCGAGGACGTAAATATACTACCATATAGTAGTATACATCCGAAAAAAATGGAATGGCCAACTCGTGGTTGATTAATCACAGCTGAGTTCCTCAATTAATTTCTAACACTGTTGTAGTTCGGCCCTCGAAATTTCTCAGAATAATAAATGCAATTGGTAAAAACTTGTGTCCATAGGCCTTAACTTGACTATGACTTCGTGAAAGTGTCAACCGTCATTGGACTCTATCAATTTTCGCAACCCAAATATAGTGATTCAGTATTTCAAAGTGAGCTGGGATGCAGTAGTCTTTATGTACACTTGTTAAATATAATCAGGCTTAAATATCTCAAAGACACTCCCATTAAAACCTAACAAACGAGTATATTTTTAATTAAATCCTCTCTCACCGTCATCTACCTTTCCTGTACTTCTTAAACGTAAAAAATATGTCGTATGACTCAACTAACGACTACAACACGGTGACACTTCTTAGAAGCATTTAGATGAATAATATTCCAGCATCTTGAATATTATTAGAGATAGATGAGATGCTAAAGAGGCGGCAGGTTGTCTCCTCGACTTTGCTACGGTCAGCTGATTTTGACAAGACGCGATTAGTTCAATAACCCCTTAATGTGATCATTCTCTCCATGTAAGTCGTTAAGATATTTACAAAACTTTTCTCTAAACTGGGTACACCGAGTCATTTGAACCTTCAGGACGTAATTAATAGCCTAAGGAAAAAAGGTGGCGCTCGTGAAATTTCATTTATCAAACGATAATTGTTGTTATTTATCCTGAACTAGAACCAAGATCACATTTCTTTTTTGTGAAAAATGAAATGTCACGAGCATCGCGTTCTTTCTTAGGGCCTCTGTAATCACGTGAGAAGTTTCATATGATTCGGTGCCCCCAGTTTAGAGAAAAGTTTTATAAATATTTTGACGTTTCATACATATAGAATGTCCCTTTCATATCACCTTAAGCTTAAGAAGTTCCACGCGACTCCGGGGTCGGCTGATAATTAGAATAATTAGTAAAATCGCGGTGTCGTTGAACCTGAACAGGTGGATCCCGTTTTCCACATACTTATACACGGTATATATTAAAATTCACGCATGTATAGGTGCGCTCCAGGTGGCACACCCTGTTTGATTAATGTAATAACCCCGTACTTCGCGGCCTCGGGTTCGGATTTACATTAGACAGGTTTCGAGGCTCCAAAATGCCGCCAAACGTTTGTCGTGTTGTTTTTCAACACCGTTTAGAAATATAATAGGAACGACCATCTCCAACTTTATGACACTTTTTACGATTGACACTTGTATGGAAGAAACTCACTTGAAAGCTTCTTCCATTTGTGTTAATTGTTTATGTCGAATTGAATCGCAATGGAGTCGGCAATATCTGCGGAGAGAAGTGTTACCTTATAATTTATTTTTAATGAAATGTACGCAGTTACTGTTAATAATATGAAGATTCAGATTAAGGGTGTTACCCTGGAATTCATGAAAAATATGATATTTCTTATAATATCTAGTGGACGTTTATGATTCAATTTTACGTGAAAATTGCTTTACGGAACTCCATTTGCTCCACACCTTCGTGCGTAAAAGTTTACTATTTTATTGCCACCGGGGGTATTGCGACATTCGAACACTCAGGTCGTTATTTTGCAATGTTACTACCTCATACTGCAATGCACAACACATTGGACATTTATTAGGTGGAATGATACATATTCAGGAGAGATGAGTCGATGCGACGTGCATTCTGCCATAAAAAAAACAAGACACTCCTCGTTAAATTGCATCCCGCAATCTACATCTGCGTATCTTCTTCGAATCCGAATAGAAAATTGCGCGTGGAAATCCAGAAGTAAATGTAAAAGTGTGCACGTACAGCTGCGATTGATTTTCAACCATTTGAAGGAAGGAAACGCCATTACCAAAGTAATTTTTAATTAAAGCGGTACTAATTAAACGCTAACTCTCGATTTAAGCATTATCCGGACTAATCGTAAATAAATTAAACTTGGAAATGACTGATACATTAGTTGAAAAGTGCAAACCTCAGACAAGACGTAAAAAGTTCAATACACATCGTATCACTTACTAATTTTTCTTTTATAATCATTCAAAGTAATTAAAATCATATGGAATGGTGCTTAGAAATACTTGACTACACTAATAAAGCACTTCAATCGGCAGGCAAGATTTTCAATGTACATCGTTTTATAGAGCGATCTTTTTAATTACTCAACATTTTTTACTTATCGAAATTAATTAAAATCATGACGACTAGTACTTGGGAATAATTGATACATTAATTAAGTACAAACTGTAGATATCAAGTAAGATTTCATACACGTCACTTTATGCAGTGATCTTTTTTTTAATAATTCAAAATGTTCTTAATAATTTAATTTAATTAAAATGATAAGGAACGATGTATTAATCGACGGAGAAGGCTCATACGTGGCTAATAAACAGTGAAATTGGCAGCAGATGCTAACATTTCCCATAAGTAACAAACATTCCAGAGACATGGAATGTTTATTGGGCGTCGAATACCTGAATAACTTTGTAGTATATATTACACCCTATGTCTTGCGTAGGCAGGGATAGTGACAGTAGGACGATAGAAGCAATGTCTTTTGTGTCCAGGCTACATGCCGATAGTCGTGTCAAGTTGTCACAGCTGAGAAATCATAGCCATCCACTGATAAATTTTTACATATTTCGTTGTTTGGCGATACATAAGAGGTACTCAAAGTCGCTCAGCAATTCAAAAAGAAAAGAGGAATAGAAAAATGGGGAAAAAAAAATCATCCAACTATTCAAGATTCCCCCTCATTTGCAATGTTATATCGCTTTATACCATTTTATCTTTATCTTTAAACCATTGATAAATTTGTACATATTTCGTCGTTTGGCGATACACAAGAGGTACTCAAATTCGCTCAGCAATTCAAAAAGAAAAGAGGAATAGAAAAATAGGGGAAAAAAAATCATCCAACTATTCAAGATTCCCCTTCACTTGTAACTTTATATCTAGAAATCACTTCTAACATATGAATGGAAGATGTTGACCTCAGTCTTACGCCATTGAATACCACTCGAACTTTTCAAGAGGGTGATGTAATGGACGCTTACCTACTAACACCTGTTCTAACAAAAGTTCAAGTTCGAGCTTAACTCTGTAAAGATCGCATGCCAAGACTAAATAGAGAAATAACACACTCGAGACTCTTAGATCAAACGTGATAGCTGAAGAGGCATTTAATCGTTCTACGACTTATATCTGAACGTATGTTCTTTACATTTATTATCAAATTTTCTCCCTGAACTATCCCTTTAAAAAATTATCATCGTAATATTTTAAATTGTTTAGATCAACTCGTACCGATGTACGAATAATCAAAGTCCATTCGCTTGTTTCCTTTTCACTTTTAATAATTCTGTTATGTGATCAAACATACGCAATTTTACGATTGTATTTAAGATAAATATTTATGTGTCATAAGATGATACACTATTTTTATGCAATTCTTCGTGCACTCAAATCGAATGACATTTCATATGAGATATAACGCAAACTCGTACTTTTTTTCACGTCTTCCTTTTTCATGTTTCAGCGATGCGTCGCAGCCTATCAGGAGTACTTCTATGCAAAATGATTCGCGCCCTTGTCCTTCTCTGCACGGCCATTCTACCTCTCTCACAATGTCACAAGGTAAGAAAACAACCGTTTACCGAGCTCTTTTATCTCGGTCGGACAATTATCATTAGCAGTCTACGGTCAAGCCGTTGATTGCAGATTGTGGAGAATTCACTGCTAGTCGCTTTACGGATTTACAGGCCTCACAGGTGAACCCGCAATAACGATTGCGTTACCGGTGAACCTCGATCGAGCCGAAGAACTTTTTCCGATACCGAGCTTGCGTAAACCCTCGACGCTGAGACCGTGGAAAGCCACTTTTACGAAAGCGCATTAAACCCACAGTGTAACGTGCAACAATTGTGGAACATTCTCTAGATTGATGAAAAAGGCCGAATTTTCGTTGGTGTCACTTCACAAAATCGTGTTTCCAAGTGAAACCGAATTGTTATCCCGGTCGCACCTAACCGCGGATTTAATGTTTCACGCATTTCACCCCTATTTCCTAACGAAATAATTAATTCTATGTAATTAAACGTTTCCGCTCTTAATAACACATTTTACGTAATGTTAGCTTGAATAATTCGTTTTGTGTAACTCTCATAATGATAATTGTCTAAAATAACCAGTCATGAGTTTACCATTTCATGCGTTTCGAGCCTAATTAGCAAATAAAAGTTATGACTGGAAAATGTCAACTAAGTTTACGTGACTTTATGATTAATATTGCCTGAGAAAATAGATCGACGTGAATCCTTGACTGCCAAGTTAAATAATATATGGCTGATGAATTTAATAATACATCTTATTGATAGATCTTAGTGTTTTTACCTAAACAATTTATTGATTGGCTTTACGTTGTAATGCAAAAGTAAATTGCAATAGTGTATTGCCAAGTTTTTAAAGCCGTAATCATTTCATAAAGTTCTGCTATGGAATGTAGTGTATTATATATATATAATATATAATATTACATAAGTAGTAAATCCTTATAAAATTCATAAGTAGTAAATTTCTCATACGCCGACCCAATTCGGTTTTGCCTCAAAACGCAACAATTTCCAATAACAATTTCTCTGTTTCGTAACGAATGCTTTTCTTCACTTGGGAGGGAATTGTGGGCGGGGAAAAATGCCTCGTACTTATTAGTAATAAAAATAGTAAGGCGGAACGAAGAGAAATCAGGAATTGATGCAGAGTAATGTTGGAACAAATCCTCGTACGTTCAGAATTTTACGCGATTTCGCTCTAATAAATATCGCGAAGAAGATGGAGTACAAATTGTCTCGTTGCATTGCAGCGACGTCTATTTAAACAATTACTCTACAACCTCGCCTGATTATATTTCATCGTGACTCTTTCAGACATCGTTTTTGCATTCAATGTGCCAACTTTGCTCCTGTCCTATATACAACGTAACAACAAGATACGCCCATAAAAATTATTATTCCACCTCCCAGATTAGTATTTCTACTGCCTTCCCGTCGCTTTTTACATTTATTGTAATTTACGTGAATAATAAATTCCGCCATACTTTCACTTAATTCCATACTACACCCGAAAACCTAGCAATTCCCACCAGGAATTTTACTGCCTCTAACGAAAATGATTTTCCTTGTTCCTTTTTTTGCATGAAAAAATTAAGCATTATATCTCTCGGTTTCGTCCATGTACGTAATTTCGTTGCATTTACTTTGCCGCATTTCCTTAAATTTGCCTTACCTCTGTAGACAATTATTTATATATTTTTTTTAATATACCAAAAATCATACTACTTCGGCACGGCAACAGAACTGTTACATAAAACGTGAGCTAAAAATGTGCCTTAATTTCTGAATAACGATGTGCACCAAGTATGCATTATGCAATTTCAGGAAATATCGTACATATTTTGGTTTAAATAAACGAGGAAAGAATTTTACGCCCGATAACCAGGTCGGAATAGAGGCATTGCATTATTCAAAGCGATACAGTTCGCCTCCGTAACATACTATAATTAATGATAATTAACCCCTTGTTTTCCTTATAATGACAAGTTACACTCCATTCGACTAACGTGTAAAATATGTTTATCCGCTAAGGGATGATAAGATTAAGGGTTAATAATATTGTATCAATTACAGTTGTACGTATAAATGACTTTTACGTTGATATGCGCTCAATTTTCCAAATTAAAAATGACAAGTATCGAATTATGAATTACATGATGCAAAATACAAATTACGAATGACAAGCTACGAATCATAAAATATAAGAAATTAATTTTGCATTTTTTATCAAAAATAAATGACAAATAAGAACTTGCTGATTAGAAATAGTTACATATGTATACATAGAGATAACCAGAATCATAAAGTGCGATAATTTAATTCCTACCAATCTATCTACCGAAGGAAAGAAAAGAATGCCTTCACCTGCAGAATATCCACCACCGTCTCATCGCCAGAAGCAATAAATCTCCTTCATCCCGCAATCCCTTGCAATAAATAAAAGGATCGATAAACTAAAGGCATAAAACCGAAGGAAAAGCGATAAAACACAAGGAGACCTAGAACGAGTGCGGATCCCGAAGGTGATGCGATCGGCGAAGTGATCGACCTTAGGTCCGCTAATTATATCTCTACTTCTGATTCCTCGAGGCATCGGGCATTCCTCGAGTGCTTCAAACGCTGGAAACAGACCTTGCGGTGCAATTGGAAAATGGCTAAGCCACGCCAGCCCGATGGAAATCGACTCCTAGGTGTACACGAGAAGTGTCGAAACTCCCTTGCCGACTTGGTTGGTCAATGCCTCCATAATGACTCTCGGCCATGGAACCGAAGTCGACCGCTTAATTGCCCTGTCGAAATGATCGCTAGAAAATGGGATAGGTTTACGAGATATCGTTTCGCGGCCGATTTGAAAAAGAAAAGCGCCCTCCGCCGTCGTTCCCGGAAAATCTGGGAAACGGAAGACCTCCATGCCGGGAAATTGAAACGGCGTTAATCAACTCGTTATCCTTGGAAAAGCTGAACGCAAAGAGTGACCTCACCGCTTGAGGTTTCCTGATCTAGATACAAATTTCAAGGAACAATCGATATGGTTATTAAATTTAATTCATTTTAAATTAAAATCACATTAATTAATTTAATTCATTTACTGATGTCATGATTATATCTGACAAATTTTAAATCGAAGCTTAGGTCAATATTAGCCTTGGAGGTTTTAATCTAGCCTCAAAGGTTGGAGATGATGTCTGTATGCGGTTATTAAGTTATTTATTAGTTTTATCCAGTTTTATAGGAGAATGAGAAGAGTTTCGAGAGGTCGAATGGCTTAATGATTTTTTTAACACCTATAAATCAGCACTTAATCGCACCGAAATGACCCTGCTTTATTACATAATGTTTAACTTAACCAATCCCAAGAAAGTAATATTAATGATTTATGTTACAGATTCACGAACATATGACAACAGAAGAAATGATGTCGGTGTTTCACACGCATCATGCTTCAGGTAAGAACGTGATATTTTTCTTCCAGTTAACAGATCCTCTGTAACGTAAAAAGTATGACCCATTTGAAATTGAATATCGTCCTTATTTCTCATCTAGAATGAAGAGAGAAATTTTAACAAAGTAAGAAACATCACATGCCTTCGATTTCACTTAGTAGCAAAATTTCAAAAAGATAATTTAAAGTTTTAAATCAATAGTTTGAAGCAAATAGCTGTACGTTTGTTAAACGTGTTACCGCCAAGTGTCAAAATTTATCAACGAATCAAAATAAATCCGACAATAAATCGTGATTAGATTAAAAAAAATACTGCATAATTTCCCACGGAATCACATTTTCTGCACTTTATATCGACTCCAAAAAAATCCGTACCGTAATTAAAAACGCCTCCCATATAATTATCCCAATTGACAAAGCTTCTAAACTAATCAATTCATCCAGGTTCCTCTCGAGTAGGTACCTTCAATTTTTTCAAAATTAAATAAATGAAATAAAAAATTAACAAAACCCGTTCCATGGTGAATAATTCGACCGTAGCCGGCAGGCGTCGATCTGTCTGACGTAAAGGGGCGCTGTATATTTCCGTATGGAATCATCTCTGATATCTATCTCGTAATTAATCCGACGAACCAGGTAGAGTACGTGGGGTCATTGGTCAAGTGATTCATCGATGACGCCCGATCGAGGGGATCGGGCAGGATGAATATTTATCGACGGAATAAAAACGCTTGCGCGAGACATTCAGGCGCGTCTCCCCTCCGCGATTTCTCACAGCTATCCCTAGAAAATGATTCGAGAGAGAAATCCGAAGGAGTACGGTCGTTTGGGAATTTATCCTGCCTCCGTTATCCTTATGCAATACGCGTGAAATCCTCTAAAGAGAATCGATTCTCTGAAAATTGGCCGCTCGAGAGCATGTCCACGTCCAGAGAGATTTCCCGGTGCAATAATCCACGTAACATTTTGTTTCGCTTAACAAGCTGTCGGTTTTTCTCCAGCTATCGACACGGAACTCCTGATTGTTAGTACAAGTTACAAGATACATTTGATTAGTCAAGAATGAAACTCATTCGTGGATGCCAAAGCACTCTCGATAAGCTCAAACTACTCTCTGCATAGGGATTTCCTCTTTCTCTTTCAGTGTACTTTTAATTACGCGTTGTTAAACGAATTTACGAGGCGTAAAAAAAAAAAAGAGCTTCACGTAAAAGATCACGAGTTTTACTCGAAAATAATTGGCATGAAGTATTTGGCCGCCAAATGAGCGTATTACCGTGAACGTTTTCGAAACTCTTAAAGAGGCATATCAATGTTCCGGTTTCTAGGATTAATTTTAACGTAGCATTCAGTGATAAAGAGGTTGCTTTAGAAAACAGCTGAAATAGGCTGTTCTATGTGTGACTCGATATTTCAGATTTCCGTAACCTGACATTAATTCTAATACGACTTTATACCTGTCAAGGAAAAAAATGTTGCATCAAAGAAACAGTTAACGATCGACCTATGCATTGATTCAATATTTTTAGAACCTGGAATTAATTTTAATCCAACTTATTGCATGTAGCGAAAGCAAACTCACCATAACAATTGTGTAAGAATCGATTGTTCGATGCGTAAATCACTATTAAGAATTTCTTTTAATTTGAATTAATTCGTAGCTATTAGGGGAAAAAAATGCTACCGCAAAGAGTAAATGATAACATTACGTTACATTACAATAAAACGTCTTGCTTAGGCCTTTACATCTTTATGAGCAATCAGCAAATCACTTTCAATATCGGTTGAGCCCGAAGAATTTCAGAATCAAGTGTGGTTCGTTTCCTTGCATCTGATTATCTACTTTTTAAATGAGAAATAAATGAATAAAGAAAGAATTAATAAAATACATGACAGGTAATCAGATTAAACGAAACACTGTTAAGTTTCAAGGTAAATGCTATTCACATTTCATTATCAAAATTAAGAATCGCAAGTTGCTAGCTACTCGAAAGATTGAAAAATTACATTAAATGAAAACTCTGGTAATTAAAGAAATGAGGAATGAAGGAGAAAGTGGATGAAATGGCGTGTACTTGAGAAATAATGAAAAACTATGAAATTTCAGTACCAGAGTACGAGGTAGTGCCTGTGTTGCACTCGGTCCACAAGAGGAGTCCGGAAGTGAGACCGGAAGTGCACCTTAAGGCATTCGGAAAGGATTTCAACCTCTCGTTGAAGCCAACCGAAGGCCTTTTGTCGGTAAATCACTTACCGATGTGGACAGTAACGAAGAATGCGTCACGTCCCGATGGCCTGCACTACGAGGACTTGCCGGAAGTATGTATAAAGTAATTCGAAGGACCTCTTCGATGCGACGTCGATAAAAGCCGAAGATTTCCTTGGATGGGCCTTAAGAGGCCGTGCTCGTTGAAAAACGCGTCCCCCTTGATTTAACGAAAATTAGACTCGCGGAATCTCGGTACTACCATATACATTGCCGATAATGAGTTCTGAAAGTACGAGAAGAAAATTGAGATATATTTTTTTCTCTTTATCTCCAATTATCGGACGCCAATATGGAGTGCAATATTTTAATGGCCCAGCGTTCAGGGTCGGTCAAATTTCTTTTCTTCCTTTTCCCTTCCTCATTTATTCAACGTGCATTAAGTTTCTTTGGCGCTAAGGTATGACCTCCTGTAGGAATTATTTTCTTACACCGACATCCGAGAAATTTCAACAGCCCAAAGGGGTAAGAACGGTGTAAGGGTAATTGGCGCAAAGTTTCCCGTATTACTTATTGCTTGTATTAAATGGGGGATTTATCGTTCTTGCATCGACTATCACTTTCTTACGACGGGGAAGAATTGGAAAGGCAAACGAGTGCGGAGAATTTGACGAGGCCAACGAATTCTTGAAAATATTGGAAGGGATTTCGTGGAAGTAACGGCGAGTCACCTGGGCAGGAAATTACTTCTGTCATTATAAAAGACGTCCCCTCGCTTTGGTCATGAAGTGACATTTATGGACCATTAAGGATTTTTATGTGCCTGGTGATGTTAGATACGCCGCTCTCAGAAAATGTTCTGCTCCTGTAATTTTTTGTTCAAATCTACATTTAGTACAGCCCGCTCTAGACATTTAATCCGTTGCTGTAATATGCGTTTACTGGTAACTATTGTATGCTCTCAAAGATAACGATCCTATGATTGAAGATTTAATTGAAGCTCAAATATAATTTCGGCAAACCTAGTTCCCAGGATATTCAGCTGTGGGGTTGGTTGATTACATAACAAGTTAGGTGGACTGAAAAGAGGAATGAATTCCTACATAATTTATTCTGTCTGAAATAATGTTAACCAACCTCCTCTAGTACATCTTGGTGTCTAGGAATAATCGCTCCTTTAGATCCATCCTCTACCTGTCGGTTGTTAAACCTTTACGACATCTAACCACTTTGCCGCTGAATTTCCCGGAAATCGTTGGCACGTCGAAACCCGCCGAAAGATCTTTTAACTCGAATTTATCAAGAAGAAGATGTTATAGATAACAATTCACATCTCCGAGTCCGTCTACGTTTCCTTTCCAGAAAATATTTCTTTTATTCTCTCTTGAAAGTGATAATAAGCACACCTTTATAACATATGTACACCTCCAGAGCTCTATTTCCGCATATGAACATTGATCCCAAGTGATTATTAAAATCTAATGCCTCAAAAAATTGAAAAATAAAACTCGGAGCACGATAGCTGATATCATCTCTTTTAATTTTCTTTGGAACCGAAACTTTTTCAAAACTCTTATAAAAAATAAATATCCGACCTCACCATTTCACATTTACGGTAACGAGTTTGAAATCACTGGAATAATTATGCAAGAATTATCCCCCGACCAGCGTACAGACCGTTCTTATCACTTAGACAACAAACGTGCATTCATTAAAAGAGTTCAAGAAACCAAGAGTCTCACGTTACTGCGAGAACACTTTACATGCTTTCCTCGAAACACTACTCACAGATGCTAGCTCAGAGGTAATAAAAAAAAAAATCTGCATATCTAAGGAGAATCTCAGTAGGCAATCTCAAGTTAAAGGACCCCTAGAAACACAATACAGCCGAAAGTGAGACGGCCGTAAAAGCCAAAGGTTCACGAGAAATGCGTGTACCTTGCAAATTCTCGAGCACCGCGACAATAATCTGTGCAATGAATTACCAAGGAAGAGTTTCAGGTTTCGGGATTGGGACACTTCGTGATAGCGTCTTTCTCGTTGCAGGCGAGTGCCGACGTGGGCGACATCTACCAGGACGCGGACAACATGGCGTCCATCCTGCTGCACCGCGACTCGTCTGGGAAAGTGCTCGTTGTAAGGAATCGCTCTTTCTTAACCTTCCTTTCAACATACTCCCCATTATTCCGAGGTGGCTTTCGTCAACGGAGCCCGTCTGGCCGGGTCTCTGCGTTATAATTAACGAACAATCCCGTCGTTTATTGTAACGTCTCTCCCGCGGGCCGCCATGACAGGTCCGAGACAATCGCTCGGTGCAACTCCGACGTCTTCAACAAGCTGTTCCTTGTTGTTTACCGGTGCATGAAACATCCTGTTGCAAATTTAGTACCCTAAGCCGTCTGGCAGAAACGAAATAAGGACATTGAAGGCACTTGTTCCGAAAGAAATACATTAGGCTCGGGCTTTTTTCTATTTTCCCGGGAGCTTCTTGCGTCTGCGCAGAAATCTCGATTTTGAGGAACAATATAATAATATAATCAGTCAACGGTGTTAAATACCCAAATTCGCGCACGAAAGTTCTTCACTCTTTATGAGCAAAGAGAAATGTCTTACAAAACTTCTCGATATAAGGGAAAGGAAATCCATGAACATTATTTTGTCGGGCGGTAATACACGTTATGGGATTAAATCGGAATCATACTTTGCAACGTAGCCTCAAATAATCGCGCTGTTCTCCCCCCTGATTTGATGCTTACCGCTCTGACGTAAGAACGAAATGTTTGTGGTTTATCTCAAATCAATCGAATATAAAAAAAAGGGGGGGTCGATCATAAAACATAGGGTTATAGCACCGTCCCCGAGTTATTTGTCGTTACTGGAATGCACATTCCATCACGTAACCGATTCTTCCCGGGGCTTCCAAGATGTATTTTTCGTTTCCTCATTTCTGGCACAATCGCCATTTTATTCCGCGGGTGCTAATAGGTGTAATCACGCAGCTCGGCCGAGTAAACTGCAGACAAGAAGTTTTACACCTCGACGCGGCGCAGAACGCGGAATTTCATCGTTATACAAGTTGTAACCACGATCTAATATCTAATCCTCGGATACCCGGCTGCACTGTTAAAAATATTCACAAAATTCATACGCTCTCTGTACATAAGGTTTTGGCGAAATTACAAATTTCACGTCTCAACAGTGAATTATTATAAATTTATGATGTGACTTCCAAAATAAACTTGTCATTTTGTAACGTCACAGTAGAAGTGTGTGAAGTTCTGTAGAAAAATTAAAGTACACTTATGTATTAAATTCATAACACATGTAATAAATGTTGTTTGGAAATGTTAGAAAATTGGTATACCATGTCAAAGATTTTATAAAATTTCAATATTTCTTTTTTTTTAACAGTGTACCGTCGCGGAAGAAATGGCGGGCGTAAAATCCTCGGCTTACGGAGACATTACGGCGCTTATGTAATCGGCGGTAAAAGAGTTGTTCCAAGTGACCCGACCTTTCGCTTTCACCGAGCGATCTTGATCGATGCTTCTCTCCGTACATGGATCACTTTGTAACCTCACATCCAAACTAAATCCCCGATGAATGATAAACCAACATGGCGGACGCGTCTCCGCGTACCGGCTTTCGATTTATTTTACCTCGTTTTAGCAAATCCACGACGTTAAGAGAAGATTTAGATTAAAAAAAAAGGGACAAGGAATTTCTGAGAAGGAGAAATCCAGATTTACTTAATCGCATATTGAACGTTAAACAGTCCGCAATCTAAACCCTTGATTAATGGCGGATTCTAAACGCGATCGAAGTGACGTCACATGTCATACTTCATTTTATTCCATTTTATCGACGGAAAATTAATTATTATATATAATAGTTCATGTAACGAAAAGTAATTCCCGGGATAAGGAAGTCAAGATTTGCATAATTGTAGGTGAAATGTTAAATTGTTCTGAACACAAGTTCTTAATTGACTGATGCCAAATTTGCCCAAAATGGCGTCGCATGCTGGGCTTCGTTTTAATCTATCTCGTTTCGTCCACCTCCTCGATTCTAAGGCGAAGAATTTAAATTGAAACGAAGAAATGACTGATTTCTAGGAAAGAGAAATCAAGAGATTCGATCAATTACCCGCGGATTAAAGATCTAAATCTCTGATTAATGATGGATTCCGAACATGGCTAAAATGGCGCGGTATGCCATACTTCTTATTTTATCACGTTGCACATAGATTCCACTACGCTAAGGGGAAGGACTTGATGTTAATAGAAAAAGAAACGAATTTCTAGGAAATAGAAGTCAGGAATCATTTAATCACGCGCGGACCGCTAATTGTTTAAGATAGGTTTTGTAACGCATACAGGATCGAGGACGTCAATTTTAATTCACGCTGTGGGGTAGAATGTTTTAATGTATAAGTATATAAAATATATCTTGGACGTCTTGCAATTTAATTCATGAGAATTATGGTTACAGGAAGGCAACATCGGTTCGGATTACGTTATCCGATCATTGCCGCGGCGCATCGTAGAAGAAATCATCAGCAATGCATGGAAACTCCATAAGCCCTATTTGTTACCGAATGTAACTAACAGTACGACATATTTGGAGAGTACGCATCATCATGTAGTCTTCAAGCGGTCTCCAAACCATGTAGATGACGAATTCAGTGATTTCGGTAAGTTCAACCAATTTAATGGAATTCTAAATTCATCTTTTGTTGGGAATTCAGTTAATCGGTTATATGGACAATACAGGGCTGTTTTTGACTTAAAAGTGACGATTTGGAAGGAATTGTAGGATATATTCTGTAAGAACATACAGAACACACATAACATAGCATTGTTTCTAATCATCTGATGCGTTTTCCAGGTGCTACGTACCATCCGTGCAAAATATTAAAATTAGTAATAAATTAATTTCAGCTTATATGGAACCAGATCACATATCCAAAAGATTCAGATCGAAACGATCAATTAGTACTAGATCAAAGCGTGAAGCACCGTATGTTATTTATCCAGAAATCCTGTGCATCGTGGATTATGATGGATATAGGTAAGACCAAATTTCTCTGCCAAACATTTCTTCAAAGTGTAAGTAATTGCAATACATTTGTACATCCTTAAATCATTGAATAGAAATAAGATATCCTGAACATTGGATGTTTATGGATACCATATTCCAGTGGAATATGCAAATAACAATACATAGGTAAAGATAGTGCTGTATCATTTTTTTACGGCGACGAAATGTTCGTCGATTGCAACAACGAATGCTCGTTTGTTGCACATAAAATTACACGTATTGCCTTGTAGGAACTTAAACCTGTTACTCAAAATAAATTTTCGCCTTTCAGGCTGCACGGAGGCGACAATGTACAGATTAAGAGGTACTTCGTATCATTTTGGAACGGCGTGGATCTGAGGTATAAATTATTAAAAGGACCAAAGATACGCATCAGTATCGCAGGAATAATTATTTCGCGGGTACGTTCAGATCAAACATTGAAATAACCTTCCTCCACTTTCCCCGTTTCTTCCGATCGATCGTAATCGCGTCTACCGATTACAAACTCGCCATCCGAATGTAATTGTCAAGAAAACCAATTTGTTATTCAGCACGAGTGCCGAGGGTGGGGAAAAAGCGCTCAATGATTAGTCATCCACAGTCAGTGACATAACCGGGCAATCGCGATACTTCTATGTTAGGACTGAACCATTTTAACGAAATAACCGGCCCAGGAAAGACATTAAATTATTTATCACGGAGTGTTAAAGAACCAACATTGCGATTTTCCTTTTCTTCCTTTGCGCAATCGCACGACCTTCCGACAAAGAACGCAACCGGATGTTCGACCCACAAAAATGGATTCAAAGCAATTAATTTCGTGTAATGTAAAAATACGGGAACAAGTTTAATTGGCGTTATTTTATTTTAGACGTTTCTTTCGCCCTACAGCCTATTATTTAAGATATTGGAAAGTAGAGCAAAGGTAGAAAAGGGACGTAAAATGAATTTGTTTTATGATGTTAAATCAATTATGATATTAAAATGAATCATAGTTTTAGTTTGAAAATTTGAAATGATGATAGTTCAGATGTACGGACTGTCTAGGTGCTTATCTGAAATCAGTTTATAACTGTTGATCAATTAGTATAAAGCTATTAGTAATGTTTCACAAATCTTGTGGCTCGTAATTATCGAGCTACGATCACTCAACTGCATCGTGAGTTGCTTAGTCAGACTGCGTATTGTGTAAAATTGTTGATACGCAAACGTTATTTGCAAATTATTACTGCAATACACTGCCAGGAGAAAGTTATGTTGTAAGTACTTACGCAGTCAAATGGATATTGACAGGTAAAAGGAATAAAGTAAGAGGGTCTGAACAAGTGTGCAATTCGGTCGCAAATTTCTTACTCCTTATATCATAACTTTATGATAAAACAGCGCGAACAATTACCCTTATGAAATTTCGGTAAAGATTACCACATTACATTCTACATACGTTAGACGAGAGAAAACTGCACCTTTTTCATTTATCTCTATCCACAGACAATTGATTAGTACGTCCGTTTTCTGTTTCTGCTCTTAATGAAGCGTCCTTCAATTACAATAAGACTATTCTTGAATGATAATAAATCCTAAATATCAGTAATTATTAAACAAATAATTCTCGGGAACTTCTGAAGCTACATGAAATATGATAAACTTAAACAATGTAACTACAAACGGTAAAAATATCGTAGTAAAAATAGAGAGTAGAAAATATCTCAAGAAAAATAGATGCCTATCCGTAAAATACTTCACTTAACGACTCTATCTTCTATACCAATTTCCTCGTACAAGTCCTTTTTGTTTCCGGGAAAGTTTTCCAAAATACAATCGATCATTTCCAAGCAAATACGTCTTCTTTTCGTGTATTCCTTCGAGTACTCTTTCAACGACTCTTCAGCTTTCCTCTTCATACTTGCCAAATCTACGCTTCCGGAATTCTCCATTAATTCATCCACCTTTTTTGTCATTTTAATAATGTCCTCATTCAACTCGGCCTTTTGCTCATTAAGCTCTTTCAACGTACAACTACTCTTCAAAGCCATTACTTCTGCTTCCTTGCTACGATATTCCTTTTCCACTTCTTGCAGTTTATTCTGAATCTCGTTCGCATGTGCCTGCAGCTCCCTATCGATTCTCATTAATTCGTCATGTTCATATTTGCTTTCTTGCACGATGCAATAAATTTTCTGTTTCCCATACACCTACGCAAGCGAAGCAAGCAATGAACATCATTCTGACAATACTAAATACTTTGATATATTTTCAAACTTAATCCTAAAACATAAGCCGATATTATGTTGATATTATACGATATTACCCAGTATATAAGACTAAAAGACACCCATTTGTTTTGTCAACTAATAATTTCCTCAATTCATATCAATTAGTGTGTAGTAAGTGACAATTAGATTACAAATAATTGCTGTTGTAATAATAACCCAAAGATGTAGTGAATCTACAAACTGTTGAATCTAGTGTTGAGTCATGTAGAAAGAAGATACTTTAGATTAAAAGGGAAGGAACTAACCCTTTAAGGACCAAAGGCACGTATGTATGCCGTCAGCATTCATTCATCTTGTAAAATATGAATTCCTATTCGCATTTTAAAAAGGAACTTTAACAACGTGAAAAGTAGGAAAATGAATTCTCATAAAATATCCAGTTACACGCGTATGAATACAACACGTAACTATATCCGTACGTTGTAATATCTCTCCAATGATATAAATATACAACAAATGTTATGCGATAAACTTTATGATATCGCATTTCACGCGTCAAATTAATTTCGAATGCTTTACCAAAACTCACTTTCTCGAAAATTTTGAACTCACTGACTAGCTGATCCAAGGCTTTCCGTTTTAATATTATTTCATCCAATGATATAAATATACAATAAATGTGCGATAAACTTTATGATATCGCATCCACGCGTCAAACTAATTTCGAATGCTCTACCAAAACTCACTTACTCGAAAATTTGAAACTCGCTGACTAGCTGATCCAAGGCTTTCCGTTTTAATATTATTTCATCCAATGATATAAATATGCAATAAATGTTATGCGATAAACTTTATGATATCGCATCCACGCGTCAAACTAATTTCGAATGCTCTACCAAAACTCACTTTCTCGAAAATTTTGGACTCGCTGACTAGCTGATCCAGGGCTTTCTGCACGGCAGACTTTCCAAATTCGTTGTGCAAATTGGACATGATGTCGTTGACGCTGTACGGTCGATTTTGCGTCTTCATGTATTTGTGCACCGCGTCTAACGCCATGACTCCAGTAGTAGTCCGAGTAATGGCGGAGTTCCTATTTTCCTTCCGCTCTTTAATGTCTTCCTATCGTCCTTCCGCGACGTATTAGGTGAATCCGCGCGCGGCTTATTACCCAGATGAATCCTCTCATGGAAATTTCTCTCTTTCAGGGCCGAGATGCGACTCCGTATCTGGAAAGAAATCGCGTGGGACGTGATGCCATTGACTCGGCGGCTGCGCTCACTGACATGGGGAAATATCTCTTTCGGGAAAGGAGGCTTCCGGTCTACGACATTGCCGTAGCGGTTACAAAGTAAGAGTGCCCCCTCTTAATAAGGACCGGGGGAAACCTAGGAAGCTATTATGACCTGCTGATTGCTAGGATTATCTGAATCAGACCTGAACTGCTCGATCGCAAGAAATGTCAACGAAATGTACGATAATGTCCGTGGTTAATGTACGCCGGTAGGAAATTTCGGGAAATTCACCGCGGCCAGAATTCTTGAGATCAGGTATGAATTCTAATTAACGGTTTCCGGCTGATTTCCGCATCGGTGAGGAAAAGTAAAAGTAGATTGCCGAGGGAACCGAGATCCGACATTTGCCGGAATCCTGTCAGGAGTTCGTTTCCATTGCTTCCATTAGGAAGAATTACTTTTTTTTTTTAAGCAAATTATCTATTTAAAAATTATCCGAGCTTTCCATCCTAGAATTTCTGGCTCGTAGAGTGGATAACGGAGATCTAGAAACGATAAGACTTTCCACAACATACGTTTATCGTGATTGTTAATAATGAAATTGCACTCCGATGTAAAAGGCTGGGAACCAACAGATGAAGTTTAAGATTTTTAAAATCGTTGTATCGGCCTCTTCAGCTTCTCTTTCAAATTTTTCATGAACTTTAACATCAAAGTATGAAGGTTCATGATTTGGTAAAACATTCTACGGCGTGATCGTGCTTCGTTTTAATTAATCGATAACTTCCAGATTGTGAATCACGCAAATCGAAAGTTATCATTCTCACTCAGATATCTCAACGCTTCTTGCAGTAATTTTGATAATTTCAAAGATAGATCTAGAAACAGTAAGACATTCCAAAACATACGTTTATCATTATTGTTAATAATGAAATTGCACTCTGATTAACTTCGAAGTATGAAGGTTAATGATTTTGTAAAACATTCTACAGCGTGGTCGTGCTTCGTTTTAGTTAATCGATAACTTCCAGATTGTGAATCACGCAAATCGAAAGTTTTCACTCTCACTCAGTTATCTCATCGCTTCTTGCAGTAATGTTTGATAATTTCAACCTGTCGATTTTCGTTCCATAAAACAGGTATGATATGTGCCGTCGTAGGAAAGGCGGCCGCTGCACTAAAGGAACTGCTGGTATGATTTACTCTAAAGCGATCATGCTTATCTTTACCATTCGATAATGGACTTTTTTGTTCTATCCCCGTGTAGCGATTTTGAATGTATAAAGTATTCAAAATCAGTGATACATTTTAATGGGCGTAGCAAAAATAGGGAATTGTGGAAGTCATTGGAATTTCTCTTCTCAGGCAGAACATTCATGATACTAATTTTCATATAATTACCCTCAATTACTGTCTCAATAATTGAATGTCTGCCTAGATACATTAACTATCAATCGGAAACAAAGAACGTACAATATAAATATTCAGGCAAGAAAATCAAATCATCATATTTTACCTCAATCGGTTGGAGCAATTAATTCTACGTACATTTTTTCAACATTGACATGTGATTATCGTCTCTTTCTTAGACTTTAGTATTGTTGGTTAATTATGTACCGAATCTCTGTCCGAGAAGGGAAATTATTTAATAACTTTTTCAGTCATGTATATAAAATCTAGTAGTTATAAACATAATCTCATGCGATTCGCAGGTATGCGAAACACAAGTGGAAAATAAAGAAACAGTATACGCGTATTTATACTTTAATGCCATTATGCTCTTTCATAGACAACTTTTTCTTTGTTTATTATCCACTTGAGTTTCGGAACAGCTTTTCACATACATATCGGGGTAAGAAATCTGCCAAGCAGGGAGCATATGCTAATAATTTAGAGCTTTGCAAGACACACTACATAATTGCCATGGCATTTGTAATTGTAGACGCAATTTATAATCGGTGCTGTAGGATTTCATTCACAATCATAATCCGAATAAACAGGTACAGTGATCATTGTATTCATACAACTCGCACAAATTTAGAACAGCTGAAGGGAACACTTCGTATACGTAAGGAATTAAATAATTAAAAAATTCCACCATCAACATCAATGACAGTCAGTAACAAAAATCATATTATTACAATATTTTACTATAAAGCCCGTTTTAAATGTTAATTTTCCTTTCTAGTAATGAATTCTTTGGTTTCTTTCTTTTCTTGAATTCTTTCCTTTCTAGAATGAATAAGAATATCGAGTCAAATTGTGTTCCTTCCATCATTTGTTACTCATATCGTATCAATTAATTGAAAATGTTGAATAGAGTCCAATAAATGCAAGATCACTGCATCGCGTTTCTTAATAAACTATAACTCTAAACACCTAACCATTGGCTTTTTATATATAGAACTAATGATCTAACTCCTCAGAATCCAGGTGGACGACGAGTGGCGGCCTAATAATTTAAACAAACTTTTGACAATGTCGTTGTCAACCACCAGAGAGATGTCACCGATTTACCGTGCTCGTTTCACATTGACGATTGCGGTGGAACTTTTTCCTAAATGTGTATTTCCCATTATATCAAAGTAATTCATAATTGTCCCGTGACGTGGTCGAATGCGCACCCAAATCGATTTCATATGATAAAGGAAATGTTTATTATTGCGTTGCAGATTAGATATGTGCAGGAGGCAATACGCGAATGACGTGTGCAATAGAGGAACCGCAGGTACGTCTCTCGATTAAAGAGAAAGACCGCACAGCCTTTTTTTTTTTCCTTCGTTTATCGATCTCGTATCTCTTGCGATCTCTCTGTGTATATTTTATGACTTCAAAACTGCATATCTCTACCGTGTTTAAAATTTCCAAAATTTTCCGTTCATTAATTACAAGTTTCTCCCTCCACTTCTCTCTGAATCTCTTTTCTCCCGTGTTCCCATTTGCGGTATAAAATAATCAACTTGCCAACTCGCGACCAGAATTGGGTTACGTTATATTAGCATACGGTGAAAGTATTGTTAACAGAAAAGTTTAACGTTAAATTATTTAACAAGGTACATCAGAAAGAATTTCTCGATCGATGTAGATTAAAAAAAAAAAAAAAAGATGAAAAATATTACCAATTCCACAAAACAATTCATACGAAATATCGCAGAAAATAAGTAAGTTAAACGATATAACTGGTTTTGCATCAGGGTATATTATCATTTGCATAATATTATCATGTAACGGTTCAGTCGAATAATGCCCAATTCTGTTTGCAACTTGCATTCATCTCTTTGCTCCTTTTATTACCCTCATAAATAATTCTCTTCCGGCTTAAAAGATGAGATTCTGCTTGTACGGTATATTCCCTTTTCTACATCTCAGTTGTTGTGAAAAGGAAGAGAAACGATGAAAATGCAGTAAGAAAAGAATTAAAAAATAAAATGGAAAGATATATTCAGGAAATAATTCTCACAGATAATTTTTTCGGGAAATTCGATATTTCGCGTCCATTTCCTTTGCACCCTGACCTACACCATTTTGGCACTGTCTTTGAAAAGCACACCGACGTATATGTATCGTTAAAAAAAAAAAGAAAAGAAACCTTTCGCAATTTATTGTCTTCTGTCGTATCCTTTAATATATGCTCTCTATGTGTTCTGTCCCTTCTGATTCACTTGTGTCTCTTTTATCTTTGGATGCATTACTGATACGGATCGCGGTCGGTAAGTCTTTAAAAAAAAAAAAGAAGAAACGATCAATCTGAAAAAAGACCTAAGACGAGCGACAGACAACGTAATATAATTCCAACTGAAAATGATTATTTTGTACCTTTTCATAGAAAAGATGTTATTTAAAATTAAATCAAAAGGAAGGAATTATTTCACGATGTTAGACGCTCGTATCTTCGACTTTCAGGCCCGTGGCAATAACCTGTTAATGAAAAATTAACACCAGATGCATGTTGCTTATAAGGGCTGTTAGTCTTGCTTCAAGTAACATCAGATTACTTACACAAGCGGACTAATTTGCTCATTAAATTCATGAAGCATCGATAATATTCTACTTTTAATAATAGCAGTAGCAATAATCATAATAATTACACGATCGTTCGATTAACAAAAGATGTCTCTCCAGTCTAACTAGCGGCAATATGCAAACCCCGTAACAAATAGAAATTTGGCAAAATCTCACAGGATAAAGTTCCTATGAAACGTGATTACCATAAACAATTTAATAAGATTCCAATTCAGGGTGGAGAAAATTCCCGTACAAAACTAGGGATCGAAATCAAATTCTATTCAAACAAATGATGAACATGATACTCCATAATATAGCCCAGAAATTCTGTGCAACTTTATTTTAATAAACATTCATAATGTTCGCCTTCTAACCATGCGGAAGCCTTCAAACGTTTTAAGAATAAATTTTGTACGGCAAGTTTTTCCCCACCTTGTATATTGAAACTGCATCGGAGTTACATATTAACACCTACATTAGGTAAAATATATTTAAACAATTTAATAGTTGGCTTATATAATTTATAAGTAACATGTGGGCATAAAACAGCCAACCTGACAGTTCATGCAGATATTGAGAAACCTTCGGATATATTTCATGCAATGAACTCTCATTATTTTGTAGAATTTGAATAATTGATCAGGCTTTGTATTAAGGGCTGGAGACACAATCATAAAACCTCGTTGCTCTGGTATTAATTTAACACTTCACGAAGAAGCTTATTAATTGCGGACGCGTCGGTCGACTTAGAAAAATGACCCTAACCACTGACCAAAATTTGCACAAGGTTTTTCGGACAGGCAAGGAATTAATTAGGCTTTTCTGCGCAGGTTTCGCGTACGTGGGTGGTGCTTGTGTCGTTAATAAACGACTCGAAAAGGTCAATTCTGTCGCCATCATCGAAGATACCGGAGGTTTCAGCGGTATCATTGTCGCAGCTCACGAAGTTGGTCACCTGTAAGTTTCCGTAATCATCCAATATATTCGTTTACACTGAGAAAAAATATGTTCATTGAACCAAGAAAATATTTCTTTGAACATGGTCAAAGAAACATTTTGTTAACCCATTCGCTATCAACGGTGACTATAGTCACCCAACGCCTGGAAGAATCTTTTTCATTTGTTAGATATTGCTGTTTGGAATTCTTATTGTTTACATAAATACAAAACACCCAAAGATCTTTCTATAGCTGCTTTTCATTTCGAATTAATAAGACACATATTACGGAAACACCATAAAGACGATTGTAGACAAAGCGCTCCTAGATCTGCTGATAAACATCCTTTTAGGCTTACTGATAGACCCTTCCCGGCGATTTACCCTAGCACGAAATCAAAACGAAAAAGCGGATTGAAAAAGGGTATCGTTTGTATTAAAACTGGGGTGCAACGACAAATGCATTACCAATGTAAGATATGTGACGTAGGACTTTGGGTATACCCGTGCATTGAAACTTTTCATACGAAATTACATTATTAAATTATATTTCCTAGTTGCATTACAAATAAACCTATTTTTTATCCGTTATGCATTAGTCTTTTGCAATTTAAATGAAGCGTTAATAATTTACCTCACATCCCTAAACGTTAAAAGATACGTTCCCTCGGCAGTCAAATTTAAGGGCGTCTTCGTTAGCGAAAAGGTTAATTTAAAGAATAATTATCTAACCCAAATAAACCCGAATACATTGGATGTAACATTTATCCGGAATAACGACAATTCATTTGAGTAAAATGATCACTCTTGGCATTAACAAAATATTTCCTTGGTTCGATGAATCTTTTTCCTCAGGGTATATATACCCTTAATTTTCACAATTCTTTCCGCTGAATATAAGTAGAACAATTACGGATTTCCTATGACGAGAAAAATTCTTACAAAGCGCCGATTAAAGGACACACCTTCGCAAAATATCGAGCCGTGAGTTCTTTCCGGATTATTTAACGGTAAAGTTGTCCGATTGCATAACGGGCTTAGCAACCGACAGGATGGATTCAGAAGAAGTATTAGACTTGGACGCTAAAAACCAGGAAACGATTAGCTCGGATACTGAAAACGAAAAAGTGGTCAGTTCAGACGTAAGAAAAATGTGGAAAGATATACTTGGACACCTTCCCTGACTGGTACACGGAAAAGAATCTCGCAATTCATGCCATTCAATTTATACAGACGTTATCTTTATACGCTTCCTGTTTTTTAACATTATCGGTAACATACGTCATTAATAAATACTCGATCAGAGTCTAACATATACATGCCGTAATAAAACAATCTACATATATTTATGATTACTTGAAACTTAACCACGGCATACGCGGAAAGTAATTCCCCTTCGAGATCTTCAATAATGAAATTTCAAATCACATTTTATCGCGGTAGGGAAATAATCTTGAACCTAATTTAAATAAAATTACAGATGTAAAATGGTGTTTCATCGCCTTGATTTAAAATCGATATCAGGATTCGTGGCAATGTGGTAAATGTAAAAACGGTTATTAAGGAATATATTTTTACAGACTGGGAGCTGTACACGACGGTTCGCCTCCACCGAGTTATTTGGGAGGACCAGGAGCAGAGAAATGTCGCTGGGAAGATGGATACATCATGAGTGATCTGAGGCACACCGAGAAAGGATTTAAATGGTCTCATTGCAGCGTGGCGTCCTTCCATCACTTTTTGAAGTACGTACCACTCCGTTCTCGCTTACAAAATGTTAACGCCTCATTCCCAAACAAGCATTCTTGCAACTATACACAGCATTTACATGAAAGCATTGCCCTTGCTATCTTTAATATTCTTCGCATAATTTCATCGTACTTTATTAATTATTTTCAGAAGAGATATCGCAAGTTATCTATCATAAGAGGACAATCTCAAAACGTTCAATTAACTTCATAACTTTTAATCCCATTTTACTGTTTGTCTTCAATGAAGACTCCGCTACTTGTCTTTATAAGAGCACGTTGATCATAAAATTCTTCATCTACTTCATATCTTTCAATGACATTTTATCTCTTTTCAGTGGAGACACCGCTACTTGTCTTTACAATGCGCCTCACGAGGACGAGGCATTGCCCAGAGTCTTGCCAGGAAAACTTTTATCCCTAGACGCTCAATGTCGAAAAGATCGCGGTACTAGCGCCTGTTTCGTAAGTCCACGTTTTATGCGATTCTATAAAAAAAAAAAAAAATTAACGCAAACAAATTTTTAACGGCATTTTTCATCATTTTCTGGAATTCACAGAAAGATGATCGAGTCTGCGCTCAGCTGTTTTGCTTCGATGCTGGGTCAGGATATTGTGTCGCTTACAGACCAGCAGCCGAAGGCTCACCATGCGGAGATGGTCAGGTATTTATTATGCAAATGTGTTTGCATATTAAAAATAAAGTGGTCTCAGACTGACCGTAACTTTAAGATATTCCTACGATTTTTGAGATCTTAAGCACATTTACTCGAGGGGGTATTCACTCAGGAAATCATGGATTTCAACGCTCAAAATCATGGGGAAATCAGGTGGAAATCGCTAGCAGAAATCATTGAAAATCACCAAAACACTGTCACAATTTTAAGGCCGAATGTCATTTGGTACCGAATCGCATTGTTGCCTATCATATGAAATCAAAGGCAATCGGCTCTCGAAGAAGGAAATCGTTATCATTGATTTTCAAGAGAATAGCCCCTCGATTTTACCCCACACAATAAACGGTTCGTCCCGCGAGATACGGTTGTCCTGAATATAAATATCATAGTTTCGAAAGATGAATTAAAACCCTGATGTAGTATATTTTTTTCAGATATCTTCAACAGGAAATATGAACCATATTAGCGGACTATGTGTAGTTGAAAATGATAACGTGAATTTGTCGTAATATAAATCTAATATCACTTTTTCTTCTTCTAGTACTGTCTGAATGGAAAGTGTGTGGCGGAGCACGAAAATATTATTCCTGATTACACCCAGAACATACCCACGTACGTTCGCCGTGAAAACGTTTTCAACGCTGCTACGCAAAATCGACCAGTCTTCGCGCAGTACAATAGTACAGACTACAGGTAATATGACATATCGGAGAAAAGAAATGATTTAATAAGATTAGGTCTACGAGAAATTGGTAACAAGTACAGAAAATGGTGAACCCATTAATCTATGCAATACGAGTAATACTAATCAATACATACAAATAATTCAACGCGAAATGAATTATTCATATATTATTTAGTTATCCTCTACGCTTCGAGTGCTTCATAAATAGTTATACAATTTTAACAGAGATTGACAGATTAAGGACAATATGAAAGTGGTATCCGAAGGACTTCGTTTATGAAACTTTTCTCCGAACAGGACACTCCGAATTGTTTGAAATTTTGCCACGTGAATATGGAGGCCTTAAGGAAGGTGCAAATACCCATAAAAATGCAGTTTTTTTATTTTTAATTTGTCCACAGTTTATATTTTTTACAAAACGCTACATTTCATGGGTAACAGGACCTCTTTAGGCCCCCATATCCACGTGGAAAAATATCAAACGATTCGGTACACCCAGTACGGAAAGAAGTTTTATAAATGATCGAGCCGTCTATGAAACGATTCGCCACTTTCATATCGCTTTGACAGGTGGGCACATTTTTCTGTACTTCTCGTAGTTTGAACAAAGTCAAAAGGTACATGCTAATGTATACATGTGAACATATGTGCTACACAGGTATCCATGGGAAGCAACGACACACAGCACATCCGTAACAAAATTCAAATTCTCCTCGCGATTCCCGAATCTCTTTGCCTCGACGTCTACGAGCGTCGTTCCCTCGAAACGCGCTCCTCAGTCCTCGACGAGCTCGCGATTTAGCTACCTAACTTACAGCACACAAATGACACCGGTAACGAGGTACACCCAGACAACCGCCAGTAACTTAATAGTCGACCACAACAAGACGAAAAAGAGTATCGGCGCCACCGCCAAGAAAAACAGCAATTACTTGAATTCATTGAGCTCCCACTCGACAGCGAGTCCTCCTCAAAGGAGCAGCAGTGCTCATAACGACGCGAGTTATCCTAAAATTACTCCGTTCAAATATAAGAGTTCCTTCACCGCGGCTACATTCGCAGCGACAGCCGATGCCGATGAAAATGGCCTTCAAAATGGTCATGGTAAGAGAATTCTAGACGAAAAAAAAAAAGGTATCCTCCCTTTCCTAGTCTCTTCTAAGTTCTTCTCTCTCGACCTCTTGCATGGTCTCGCTACCAGCGAACGATACTCTCTTTGACTTTGGAGTAACTACGGTTTCTATAGCACTGTGTGGCTTCTCTTCGGAAATCATCGTTTCTCTTTTACGAATCATCGAATCATCAAATTCACTCCTCTTCTACTTAGGATCATTTCTTCTAGGGTATAGGCTGATTGTGTGAGCCTGTGCCGATGATACAAAGTTTCTATCAGTGGTATACCTCGCATATCTTTGGAAGACGCGTTATTGCATTGAAGACGTCTTTTATGGGCACTATCTGGCAAGAGTTTTGCCGAAAATGGATAGTCGAATACTCGATACACGGTTTCTATTCCACGTGATATGATGCACGAACAAATTAGTCTCTACTGTTGCACTTAACGCGAACTCGTTAAGTTTCCCTCTTTGTTGCACTCGAATTCGACTTCTCTAAATCTCTCGTTCTTCCTTCGATTTCTCTCTCTCCTTTTCTCAGATCGCCAATTCACTTAGAGACCGTGAAGGCACTTCTGGACATGGCATACATCTTCACTATGAAACGATTCTTATTCTTACACTAAGTGAAACGGATAGCAGTACGCCTTTAGTACGCCACTAATTAATTTCCGGCACGTTTAAAAACGTATACATAGGAACATAAATTAAATTAATTGCAAGAACAAATCTCTTCTGCCTCGTTGTTTCGCGTTTAAATTTAATCATTTGGTGACATCGCAAACATATTCGCCAAAACGTGATGTATGACACAGAAACTCTTCTTACTTTTTACAATCATACATACATTAGTGACAAGAATTGATCCTATCCAGCGAGTCTTCAATTTAAATTATCAAAGAATTCATATCTATTATTCAATTCTAAAAGCATAGCCAATGATTACGTCCATGAGATTACATGATATTAATAATAAATGTTCCTTGTTTTCGTTTTTTTTTTTTATAAATACCTTAACTGCATCTTTTTATTATCATATCGGTGTAATATCAAACGCGAACGCCCTACGTCAACAAAATCACTAGATTAAACGAATGAACTGTTATTGCCAATATTATTTATAATAGATAACGACAAACCTATGTGAGTAATACGTAATTAAAATGACCTAAGCATGGACTACTTTACTTTTGAAAAATAAAAATAACTTTTCACTCTCTGACTAAAAGGACATTATCAGTCAAACAAATTCTCATGCATCGATTTCAATGACTAATGTAAAAGAATCGTGTAATTTATCGATCCGCTATTAACAATGGCATTATTGTTGCAGGAACAGGGGACGGTGAGTGCATTGACGTGGGATCCGATTGCGCGGAGCTGATTAACAGGCTGAGAACATGGCTGTGCCATTTGCAATCTGTGAAAAATCGCTGCTGCGCATCGCTCAAAGCGCTTTGCCCTGGTTAAAGGCATCCGTCCATATCCCAAACCCTCCTTGAAATCCTGCGATATTATTAAGCGTGAGAATGAGTTCACTTAAAAGCACTAAACACCACGCAGAACGAACCAACGAGCGAGTTCAAAGATGGGAAGAGAAGCCACCGATCTTCTAAGAGGAGTCGGCAGGCCTTTCGATGTGCTCTTGAAAAGTACTCATCGAAACGTACAACCGTAGTTCCCTCCAATGTCAGCGAGTTGTTTGGAAAGTCGTTGTACAACAGAGTTACCGGAGTCTTGAGGATTCCCATTGTGACAGATGAACAACGAGGAACCATTCCCACAGATGGATTCGCATTTAATATTTATTCGTCCAAAACGTGCTATCCCAGTTACGAAGAAACTTGCATCGTTCTCGACGATGACGTACTCTGCCCGTGGAGTAGGAGCTACACGGCGAAGGATCTAAGTAACAAAAACGTGTGCATAAGTTAAAAAGGAAATGCTGTATATATCATAAATGAGTCTGTGAAAATTAATTATCGTTTATCGTACAAAGTACTTAGCTGATAGCTTCGATATAGAGTTCGGCGAAACAAGGGCTCTGGGCAGACACTTTGTTCCAAGATGAATAGCCATAGATGTAACAACGAATTACCTTTACCGAGAGATGGATAAAGAAAGCGTGGCACTAAATGTATCAACGGCTTACGAGTGGAACTAAGTGTTAGAATTTGTTTCACTAAAATGAGCAATGAGCCTCATACATGGAGTTTGGAAGACGACTTGTGTTTTAAGAACAAGAAGCCATTGTCAAGAACTACGTGTTGGTGAAGTGCAATGGAAGCGTTGATCATTATGTATATTCACAGTTACTTGCTTACCCTCCTACCTTTTTCAGTTAAGAAATAATCATTCAATCATTTTCAGTAATACCTTCCCAGTGACCGAAAAATAAAATGAGCCTTATCGTACCGTCAACTTTTTATTCAAATTTCCTGTTATCGAGCTGCAAATCATGCGGAAGTCTTATTGTTCCTATTCTCGGACCTATGTTTCATCACCGCACTGCCATTTATTGTAATTGTATACAAAGTGATTTGAGGTACTATAAAATCTGTATTGTGTGATCGCAAAATATTAAAAATATATCACAAATACAAAAATTTACGAATCTCTGTTTAAAATACATAAACTTATTGCTCCGAATGGACAATACTTAATAGTATTTGTCCAGTCACAATTGTTATTCATGAACGACTGCGAACTATTTTACCTAAATGAAGAGATTGATTAAAATGATGTTTGGATTCAAATAAAATAAATGCAAATATCAAATATTTTAATTTCTATCTTCTGTATAATATTTGAACTAAGCAACAATTTACCTAGTGACTCCTCAGATATGATCTACGATACCGTGTTAAATTTATGTAACAATTTTAAACCTGCGACAACAGACAAGAGGTATATATATAAAAGTCTTATTTGAGAAAAGCAGTATTCTAGTTTAACTTCCTTCAGTTTAAGTGACTTTTTGTTCATCCCGTGATAATGGTAAAAATACTAACTGTGAAAACTCAATATACTTTTGTGAACTAACCATTAATTTCCTCAATAACCATGACCTTTGTAGTTTTTAATCAACAATAAAAGTTAAGCGATACGTAAAAACACTACCAGGAGATACATTGTTCATTGCAAACATTCAAGGGAAAAGTATAAGAATTTAATTTACATGTTTATAGTATACAAAAAAAGAGAATGATACTATGAATAGTGGACGTCGGCAATATGTTCTAACTTTCTAATGGGATCATTACTTAACCTCTTTACAATCTTTCCAATACAATATATTCAATATTTATAATTAAAATTAAGAATGGGAAACATAATATATCTTGTTTGCGATACCTTTTCCCTTAAATCATGTTTCTTCCATCTATATTTTAACAATGTACCCAGTAAATAATATAATGAAATAATGTTATCCATACTTCAAATAATTGACATTCCCATTTGTCGATTATACTTGCAGCGAGGTAAATAAAATCGAATTCAAAGTGCTACGGAAACTCAAATTGCTTACCTCCTCTTAGGCACTTGGACCATCTCATTAATTAACATCAAACATAGTATTTTCCTCTTCAAATGTAAACACTATGTTTGAAATACAGTTTAACATACAAATGACACAATAAGTTTTAAAAACTCATTGTTGAAACAATTGAAACTCTAACTACATGCAGAATAAGACTTTTCCAAAATAGTTAAAGAAAATTCGTTCGGAAAAAAATGATTAGACAGTACTACAAAATATCGAAATAAACACTAATATTTTACGGGTAAGTAGTTCAATGCAAACATGAAATGCGATCATATTAGATTTATAAATCATCATTCATTAAAATAATGTACCTTACCACAGTAACAACGTATCGAAGATGATTTGATATAGAAAGATCTTATCTGTTAGAGCGTTCAAGAGTTCAACTAATATTTACAATACTTACAATTTTCAAAGTAACCGGGGAAATTCGGCAAATCTGGATTTCCACTCACCATGCGCAGATATCAGAGATGAGTTCGGAGATTGCTCACGGGCAGGGTCGCGCGATCGCACC